AGCTGGAGTGTCTCTGCTGCCACACATGGGGTCCTCCTCCAGGCAGAAGGGCCAGGGCTCTCCTAAAGTCCTTCAAAGACCTTGCGCCCCCCCCAACCAGGCAGCTGCTGCCATGCTTGGAGATCAGCCACTGGAGTCTTCATCAGAGGGAGGGGGAAAAAGACAAAAGACGTGTCACGGAAGAGGTTAAACATCTGTTTGTCACAGCTGCAGGGAAGCACACTGGTGGAAAGGGTGTTTGAGGCCCATTTGGAGAGGAGCAGGATGGCCAGGGGAGGCTGCTGCAGGAGCTGATGCCCCGTGGACATGGCCAGTGCCCCAGCACAGAGCCTGTCTCCATCCTGCATCTCCTCCCTCCAACGCTGCAGGGAGCGCCTGGCCCTCGAGGACAGGACTGCACGTGTGGGGTGCTCCTTGCAATGCTTGGAGCAACGGAGGAAGCAAACAGCTCTGTCTTCTCCCCAAACACTTTACAGCACTATCCTTCCCCAAGAAATATCCCACTGGTGCTTGTAAATCATATAGCAGCATCCAGCAGCAAGCTCCGAGAAGTGGGTTAATGAATGATATCATATAGCTCTGCTTTTCTTAGGTCCATTAGCTGTCATCTTCTGGCAGCAGCTCCACAGCCCCTGGCACCTCAGTGCTCTGCTTAAATCTGGAGGAGTGAGGCATGTAAGGGGGTCCTTTGCTCCCCCAAATTAGGCCTCAGTTAAGCAGCATGGGGAAAAAGGAGGGGGTAGGAAAGAAACAGGCAGCTGGTGCTCACCCTTGGCATTAGGAAGGCTGCTGTAACCATGGTGCTTCGAAACTTTCCCATTTGCTACATGAGTGCAATGTTATTTTTACCAGGGCTGTTTCTAGCTATAAAGAAGGAGCAGGAGATGGGACTGCTCACCATTCATGGGGCAGCAGGAGGGGGATTCCCAATTTATCCATTGCTCCCTTGAAGGGAAAAGGTATAAAGATACTTCTTGGAAGTACTTTTATTACAAAAACTTATTATTACCCTAAACCTACATGAAATCTACTCAGAAAACTGGAGAATGATGATACCTCCGTAAGATTTTAGGGGAGGATCTTGTTACCTTTCTTTAAGAACCCTGTAAGACATGACTGTAAGGAGAGGGTCAGCCCAGTAAATCGACGGTTGAGAAACTACTGCAATCTGCTAGAATGGATTTCAGAAAGAAGGAAGCTGGGGCAAAGACAGAAAATAGGCTAAAATGTAAAAAGAACTGGGCTTATGGATCCTGCTCACCCTGTGTGTCACTATTCTTTGTTTTAGAAGCTGGACAATAAAAATCAGTTGTTCACACCAGAGTTTTGGGTTCCTCCTTCTGCCCTGTCAGATCTGCACCCCAAGCCCTGCAGGCACCCCCAGCCCACCTTCCCCTGTGTCTCCCATCTCCCAGGCAGCCCTCATTGCTCCACGGAGCTGCCAGGCTGGCTCCCTCTGTGCCTTCACTGTCTCAGTGACTAGGGAGACTTGCTGAGATCCCTGAATGCTGCTGAAAACAACCACATTTTTGGTTGGTTGCCCAAAGAAATGCGTTATATCAACAAGAGAGCACACTGTAAGGTTTGCTTTTGCTCCTGGTTACCCTGTGCTGAAGAAGCTGTGAACCACAGGGACCCCACATGCTGCTCTGGCACATGTTCTGTTAAAAAAGGGATAATCTTTCTGATTATAGAGAGTTGATTCTTCCCTTTCCCAAAGCTCTGCACCTTGGAAGGAGCAAGAGCCACCACTCAATACAGCATTTAAGTATGGCAGTCTATATGCACGATTTGCTAGAGGGGAAAAAAAAAGCAGCGTTTCAAATACAGACTGCACACACAGCCCTCAGAGAATGTCCCTTAAAGGGTTATACATTAAGCACACAGGCAAACCTACAATCACTGTTAGCTCCTGAAAGCATGTGGAGACACAGGCAAAGGCTGGCCCAGGTCAGCTTTACCTTGAGCATGTCCCAGAACAGACACACAGTCCCACCGAGAGGGATCAACGTACAGCCACACTGCCCCAATCTCCAGGAGCTGCCAGCTCTGGCATTCAGGACTATGCTGGGAAAACAGCATTGAGAGGGAGAAACAAGGACTTGGGAACTATTTTTGGATTTTTCCATTGACTAGAGAGCACTGTGGCACAGCATGTGCACTGTGCCTTAGCACACCCTACATGATGATCAACAATAGCAGAGGAACAAAGCAGCTCCTAAGCGACAAAAATTAACATCTTCAAGCTAAATTCATTGCGTAAACTAGCTTTCTTGGGTTGCACTAAAATAAAGGAACAATACCAGTAAGCAGTGGCTCACGTGTCAAGGAACAATTGAAGTAACCCTTGAGTAAGTCCTTCCCCACAGTCTCTGCTCAGCCCTATTCACCCAAAAGAGGTAAGAACATCTATTTAAGCGATTATGTTTCACTAGGGAAGAAAACGAGGATGGAGAGAGGACACAGAATGATTTCGTCTGCTGACTCAATGCATCAACTGGAGTTCGTATAAAATACATCACTTATAAAGCTAATCTTGAAATTCAGATGCACCATCTTCAGCAACTTTTTAGGCATAGGTGTGTATATTAGCATATAAAAGTATACAAGGAACTTCAGTATAGAGAAGCACTAAGACAGGTTTCAGTGTATTTACCTCATCTCTGTATTAAGTGTTACTTCATTATTAGAAAAACGTGAAATAAGGCAAGCCAACATACATACCACTAAAACTTTGCAAAGAGGAAAATAATTTTATTCCAGTGTTAAGTCATAAAACAGTGTGATAAAAATCAGACCTTTAACAATTGCTAAACTTTGTGCAAACACATTAAGAACCTACGTACTTTCCTATTCAGCTATAGACATTCAATTGAATGCAAGAACAGGTGTTTACGATACTACATGCTTACTGTACAGCAGCGTACTAGAGGAGTCAGAGACCAAGGGTTTTAAGAATGGTTACATTGATAAAGGACTCATCTACCCAAGAACAAATACATTTCTCTATTCTGCGATTCAGACTACTTTGATAAGACTACTTCAATACCAATTCTTCTCAGTCTACAGTGGGAAGCCTAGCAAACCAAACAAGCAAGAAGATGGTTCCTGCATGAATATTTTGATATGTCATTCCATTAGCTATCTGCCAGCAACAGAAAACTGCTGATTAAGTTACACAGTTCATCAATAACTAACACATGGTGGGGAAAAAGACAACTGTTCTCTGGAAACCAGTAATACAGACATCCATTCCTTAGAGTTAGATTATAGTCTTATAATGCACAGAGACTTTAGGCGCAGAAATGCCATATGCAGTACAATAAAAAAAACTTCTTGAATGGACTTGAAGAGAACGAGGCTGTATTATACACATGTGGATAAGTGTTTCCCCACACTGTCCTATGAGGTAGGTATACATCCCACCCATTTCACAGGAAAAGAAGACGCACCATAGTTCAGCAACTTGTTACAGTCATATCACAAATAGGACAGGTTCCAATTTCCCAAATAATTCACTAACCCTACCTACCCAGAATCATTTATCGAGTTGCATAGATTAAAGACGTTGTGTCAACAGGGTAGAGCCATCAGTTACAAAATTCGGGAGGAATTCCCATCACCTCTCCCCTCGGTCTCCCGCATAAAAAAAGAACACCTTAAGGGAAGTGACATGGAAGTAAAAACATGTTTTTAATTCTGAGAAATTTGTATGGAGCTCTTTAAAATGAGATTTGGGTCGAGACTGCTGAAGTGAAAGCCGAGGTAACCGTGGCACAGGCCTTTTTGTACCTTCACTCCACAATGCCGAGTTCACAACGAAGTCAGAGTGTTCTGACATCTCTACCATGTTGTCACGGGCTGTGCATGGTCGTCTGAGCACACAGATCCTGAAGACTCTCCTCTTTAGGAATGGAATCAAACTGAACCCTGGGGCTGCTCCATCTGTCTATAGCATTCCCTGTGGCGTAGCAGCTGGTAGGTGTCCTCTGGACAAGAACAGCATGGGGGGACCCAAACCTTTTCAAAGCAACCAGGCAACTCTGTGCAAGGAACATCTTTCTTGAACTAGAACACAAGTTTGTAAGAGGTATATCCACACCTCTGCACATCTACTAAAATCCAGAATAAAACGCACAACAGAACAAGCTCATGAAAGTTTACAGAACTTAAATATTTATTTTTAAACCATTTAAAACCCCCCAAAACATTGAAATAAGCTTCATCTATAAACAGATTTACAAGACTAACAACTACAGAAGCTAAAGGAGCACTACAATTTGTTTCTGTGATGCAGTTATTTTGTAAAGCTTCAGGTCAACTGTATTTACAACTTTTGATGCTTTTACATTTATAAAAATATTTATTTAATCCATAACATTATTGTTTTCAAAAACTATTTCCAGACTTTTTTCTCAGATATAAATTCTAATCGAATTTCAGTTATATAGCAGATGAAAGTTTTAAACAGAAACATTTTTTTAAAAATTAAAACAAGGAGTTAAAAGTAATTTTTTACAGTGTAGGCACCATTGAAAATAATTGTCCTTGGCATATCTAACCACCATCTCTCACAAGTGTCCTTTATATAAAAACGATGTAATGGCAACATTTGACTAAAAATGCAGTATTTACTTGCACACCATTACTTTTTCAATATTTGGCAGATATATTTCAGATTCTTTAAAATGACTTTTGTGCAAAAACAAAATGTGCAGGTCTGAACCATAAAATAAACACACCCAGCCTTTATCAAAAATAAATTTACACCAACAGTTCCACAGCTAAGTACTGAAAAACAATCCCAGTTCAAAACTTCAGCATAATATACATACTGGGTTGAAAAAGGGAAAAAAAAACCAGAAGAGAAGATATTATCCATCTAGGAGTACCATAAATATATAACTGAAAGCAACTTTATAGTCTTACCTACTTTTTATGGAAAAAAAAAAAGGAAAAAAAAGAAGAAAAAAAAAAATCACTCTGTACTGCACAGTACTACCTTTTTGTGAAAGAATATCTATAACTCAGTTATTTGCATATTAACTGGTAAATACATATTTAAAATGCACTTTCAGAAAATTATAAACAAATTATGTTGATGTACTGTATTTAATGTATTTAAGAACAAAAATGTGTATAAATATCTTACAGGAGAAACAACACCACCACACAGAATGCTGGTGTTACACTTATACCTGCTTGTGAGGTATGTATCATGCGACGCTCGGCTTCTCTGGCTCCCTTCCACCCAGACGTATACTCAGGAAAAAAATTAAATTAAGTTAAATTGGACTTCAGGTTTTGTCCATTATTGCCAAAAGCCCCACCCCCTCAACTGTATTGCTTTAAATTTTCCTACCATGATGATATAAGATTGAATTACTACTTCAAAACCTGTTCTAAAAGGTAATACATATACTGTACATCAGGATATACCTGTTGCTACATATCACCTGCAAACTATTGACATATTGCTCTCAAATATATTTAATCATAGAGCTGCCTAAAATACTGTACCAATTTAGAATTATAATAGATACTGTTGCAGGTTTATTTTTCAGGGCATGATAACTATATGCTGGTTGAAGCAGGTGCTACAGCAATATCCTTGCCACTACATTACATGTTTTGAATACGCTTGTGAAAAAGCTATTTTCTCTGAAGCTTGTTAGTGATTTACAAAAGTTTAACTCATGAATACAAAAGACCTGTACATCCCCATGTACAGGAACAAAATAGCATCAAAACATACTGTACTTGCACTTTCTATTAACTAAAGTAATGGTTATTTCTAAAAGCAAAACTGCACCTCAACGTTTATCAGATTAAACAGGTGAAACTACAATATTAAAAGTTGTTCTTTACAAAATAATTTCCTGAAAATATAAAACCATGTGCACTGCCACAAAATAGTTGAGTAGGTTCTTTCAAATCCTCAATCACCATCAATATGTTGCAAAGATCCAAAAGGCACAAGGAGCTCATGAGCTAAGCACTGCCAAGCTTGAAGTAGTTTTGGTGGGTTTCACTGGGTCCATACGAAACATCAGTCAATTATGTGAAGTTTCTTAGGATGAGTCATTAACAGAAAATCTACAGATAAAAAAAAGCAATCAAGAATTTTGTTAATTATATTGCTTCAGCTTGGCAAACAGCATATAACTGTTTTTGCATCACTAAACTAGTACATGCCTTCATCTCAACAGATCATTCTTAAGAAAATATTCCCTAAAAAGATAGTTAAAGGTTTTCCTGCTCCCTACTTGCTATAAATATGCTTACGACAAAAATGCAGGCTAAATTAAAGGAAGCAAGGTACAACAACTACAGTAAAATTGCAGCACTAGAAGATCAAACAGATATAGTAACTGTTACTATTAGATTTAGTCTCGGACAGAAGTATTACGTATAAGTACTGAAGCTAAAAGTTTAAATCCCTGGAAATAGCAGATCTTTCATTTATCACTAAACTACTCAAACTTCCCCAACATATGAAGTTCACTGTCAACTAACCTTTCCTGTGCATAAGTACTTAATTTAATTTTTTTCTTTTAAAATAAAGTTTTGGTGTTTTGTGTTTTGTGTTTTTTTTGTTGGTGTGTTTTTTTGTTTTTGTTTTTGTTTTTTCCAATGCATACAAAAAATTCCTTAACTTACTTCTGAAATTTCTCCATAAGTTTCTTCACCATCTTATCTGTGATCCCTGGACACGTTGCTTCTGCCATATTGATGCTTTTCTCAAGTTCCTCAATTGCTTTCTTTCTGCTAGCATTATTTGTGTCCTGCTGTTTGAGCTGAGTAGCAAACCAAAACAGATAAAACTTATAAAACTTATCAGACACTTGGGTAATACTTTCAAATAAGTTTTTTAAGTCAAAACTTACCTCAGCAAACACAGGGGTGATTATCATAGTTAAACAACTCAGGGTTTTAACAAGATCCTGATCCTAAAAGTTAACAAATAAGGATTACATTAGCATATTCCTGTACAACATAGATGCTGCATTTAACACAGCACATGTGATTTTGAAAGTTCAGTTAAATTCAAAGCAGCGCTTGAAATACATTACAGAAACAATGAAGACACAGTACATCAACAAATGTTACGTGATGTGGAAACAGATGCCTGATGACACATCTGAAACAATGTCACATATCGTCAGAAAAACAGTTCAGTTTTTCCTCTCTAATATTATATAAGCCTTTAAATTCCCATCTCTATGAACAGATACTGATCTATTAGTATGCGGTATCTTTTGCATTTAAGGCTGACACGGGCATAGGAAATATCACTAACAATCATCATCTCTTGAACTACAAAAAGATAGTTCTTATGAAAAATTAATAATTACTAAGCTTTATAACTATTTTCCTTAAACTGACTTCAAACCCAGCACTTAGAAAGGAAGAACTCTTCAGACTGTACATACCGTCCCATTCTGCAGCTTCTTTGCATCTGGCTTCTTTCGAACTGTAGTAAAGCTCCACTCAGGATGAGAGTTATTTTCTTTGTTACTGGACTCCCTGAAGAAAAAGGATACAATGTACATAATACTAGCCATAACATAACCCTAAGCAAGCATAGGTAACCCAAATACATAATAAATCTATACGGATTAGTTCCCTGTTCCTTAAAACAGGGAGAAAAATGTGTATTGAAACATTAACTGAACTTTAAAAAAATAGCTTCAGAGGCTGAATAAACTGAAATATGACCAAATCAAACAGAAAATGTTATCTACCCATAAAGCTTACCTTCTCCCATGGCATCTCATTTAAAACAGTTATTTGATATCCAGAAAAGCAAGAGACTTACAGAATGTATGTTGTTCCACAGGCATTGTGCAAACTTCTTCATACACCTCAACCTTGCTCTGCAATATTTCTAACTGTGATTCATTGTTTTTGGTATAACCACTAGCCCTAGACTAGGAAATGCACAGCACTTAAACAGAACTGAAATTGAGTTCAGAGAGAGAAAGTTTAAAGAGATAATGAGCGCATAGCTTGACTTATGCATTAGTCTTTAGGTTGATACAAGGGATTTTCTTGAAAGAAGCCAATGAAAAACGTATGGAACAAAGACAGATATACAGAACAGGAGTTAATTACACAGAGAAACTGCAATAAACCTACTCTAGTAACATTAGAAAAGAAAAAAAAAAAAAGCCCAAAAGAGACTAAACTGAAAATGAACTTACGAATCGGAACCATCGGAATCACTTTCATCACTACTATGTCCCTCTGCTTTCCATCTCTTAAACCTATCAATCAGTTCTGTCAGATATGAAGTCTTCTTGGCATTCTTCATAATGAATTTGTGCTTCAGAAGTTCTTTTGCAGTAGGGCGCTGTAAGAAACACTTAAATATTTAATGTTATGCTAACATCTCATGATTTTAAATGTTAATAGGGGAGATTTAGTAAGACAACTGACTTCTAGAGCTAAGTCATACAGTATCAGGAAATTAGTGAAACAGGAAGTCAAGAAAAGCCAGTAATCCACATTTACAAGTGCTCTAAAAATATGATCAAGTCACACACAGACTATACTGCTTATCCTTCTATGCTAGAAGGTACACACCCAGGAAAATGACTAATCAAAATTCTCCAGTGCAACATTTCCTTGTAAGCAGAATTCAGACAGACAGCAAAAGTTCTGCTGGAGAAGAAAATTTAGGTTCTCTCCTCTGTTAAAGCTGCTCTTCTGACATTATCCTAGGTTTGAGTCCATTTTAGGAAGCTGCCTCTGTCACCTTCATTTCATTCCCCCTCCCCCTTTCAGTCTTTTAAACGAAAGAGACTAGGATGGAGACATAGCTATTAAAAACACCACTACTATTAACAGTGGAAAGTATAGTCTCTAAAATTACTTCAATCAGTTATGATGCACTACACCAGCTAAATGCTTTGCAAGCATGAGAAAGTAAAAAACAAAACTAAAACATCTATCTATACACACACACATACATATATCTACTCACAAATGTTGGGTCCTTATTCAGACATGCATCAATGAATTCTTTAAAAGGTTTACTGAATTCTCCTAATAAAGTCGGAGGATTGTTTTTCGGAATGAGAAACAGAACTCTCATCGGATGCATATCAGAGTTGGGAGGCTCCCCTTTGGCTAGTTCAATAGCAGTGATTCCCAGTGACCAGATGTCAGCCTGAGAAAGGGAAAAGTTACTTTTAGTCAAAAATTAAGGGCTATCACGACTAAGTATTTAATAACTGAAATCTCCACACATACTACATCTATATAATAAAATTAATTTTGGTCTAAGTAGACAATGCACAAAGATTCCCTTCTAATACTCGAAGGCTATAATTCCCAAAGACCTGGCTGCCTTAATCAGTCTTTAATAACTTTGACAAACATCTACAACATCACTTTTGTTGCACACTTTGTCATTGTTGTAACACTGTCAGCAAGTTAAACGTGCACCTAAAGACACATGCTTTTGGAAAAAGCTTCAGAAACATTAATCTTCCTTTGATTTTTTTTCTATATAATGAACTACAAACTGCCACAGATTTCCTATGTCTAATTCAGTTTTTTTTTAGATAGCAAAGCTGCATGCTGATGCTGCTTTTTAAACTGTAGATGCACTAAGGTATCCAATGTTGTTTGACACCTCTCTCTAAAGGAACAAGGCAGAGTTGAATCAAATGCAGCAAGTGATCACTTAATTTCCTTCCTAACAGACTGCTTGATGAATTTAGCTAGAAAATTCTCAACAACTAGTTAGACCTGAAACATCAAGTTCACAGTGTAAGTTTCTGAAGAATAATAAAGTGGTATTTATTTTAGCTAAAGGTAAACATTATAAACAAATTCTGTCTTTGTATCAAAATATCTTATCAGCTACACAATTCTTTTCCGATTTAGAGATTTTTCCCAAGTGAAATATACATTACTTGCATCTTTTTAGGATGAGCTACAATAGCTATTAAGGTCACTAAAGGTGTTTCTCATTAAAAAGTGGCTGGCAATGGTTGACTACACTTGGCACATAAGTAATAAACCGAAGTTGCCCATAGAGTAAACAAGGGTTACAATTTGCATCTCTCCAATATTCCTTTCCTATTCACAAGAACTAAAATATCTGTATTTAATATTGAAGAATTAAACTAGCTTATTGTTTATTACTGAAATATCATAACCAACAATTGTATATTGGAGCAAAATGTTTTGAAAGAAGAGATGGGGGGTGTAAATCTCTGCCACTACAAAAATGTATGAATTTCTATTTTATTTTCTGTCATTTTGAAGTAGGGAGAGAAGGAGAAAGGCTAAAATTCAGTCCAGATGCCAAAATATTCATCAGTATTAGTCTAGAAATTGAAGTGTATCCTGTCCAAACCCCCTCATCTGTCCTACCAAAGGCTTGCATCTTTCGCGCTTTCCCACCAGACTTCTGGCATGGAAAGAAAAGGGAGAGGGCATTGCCCTTGCAACATATTGAGGAGATATGAAGGCAAAAGATTAGGTTGCTGGCAGAAAGTAAATGAAGGGGTGGTACAGCTGATTTATTCACAGGGCAAGCAGAAGAGGAATTATTCTCACTTCGACCGGACAACACGCATTTTTAAAGCAGGGTAGAATGCTTTCCAAAATGCCCTAGGGAGCACATTACAGTTGTGCCACTGAAACCCTAAACATGAGAACTACAACTGCATGCACATTCTCCTTCTTATCAGCAAGAACCCTTGTGATATGTACACAAATTCCTTCAAGTCTGAATGATCCTGGGAAAGTCTCCTGGAGTGTGAATATCTTCAGGACATCTCAGATATTCAACAGTCTTTTCTTTATGTGCACATCACAAGTAAAGTTACACGTTTACTATTTGAGAAAAACCAGTATGAAAGTATTACTTTGCATATACCAAGATTTTTAGATTTCTTGCTCCTATTTAAGGTTGCATCTACAGAGTGTAGAAAGTCCAATGCTAGCACCGAAGTACACTGCCATTTCACTAAGCACACACTCTAGGTCGTCATGTGGGCATACACATGGGAGAAGAGGGGACTGTTCACTCCTTATCATCATTTCTAGCAGCAGTTCCCAATGCTCAGAAAAACACGGAGGTCTGCTTTTCTACTGCTAGTTCACATAGGGAAACTCTCCTTTGCAATTAGTCATCCATCAACAGCTCCCATGAAAAAGAAATGTACAAGGTACCATAATGCCACCACAATACTACCACAGCTACCCATCCTGTAGTTCAAGTTACTTCTTTCCTTCTCAAGATCAGTCATCTGTGTTAAAATCTTCAGCATTACACAGGTCCTCAGAAATACCATTAAAGAAATTATATCCAGAGCTGTTCATAAAAATCGGAGAAGAGAGTAAAATTTCAGCCATCATCTTGGCTTTAAATAGGCTGGTATGTTCTGGTGGCATTCTAGTTTGTGAGAGCTTTATTACTGTTTGAAATGGGAAACACTGAATTGAAATTAAAATCAAATCAACCAACCAACATACAACAGTGAAAGCATTGAGGCAGTTTCTCTGAAAGAATCTTAACGTGAATGCATCAATTCACTTGGTGAGTTTACATGGGTCTCGCATGTGAGTGCAGTGACATGCAACTCCTGTATAAAAACAATGTAACTGTACTTCTAATTGTATTATTTGAAACCCTGTAATTTGCAATTATTTTTTTCTCCATACTGACAGAGCTAAAAAGACAAAAAGCAAAGTCCTTTCTGTTGGATCTGCAGGTACAAAGAAAAGGTATTCTAATCTCATACTTACTTTTGAATCATACGCCGACTGCTGAATAACCTCAGGGGCCATCCAAAATGGAGTTCCAACAAAGGTGTTCCTCTTAATTTGCGTGTCTGTCAGCTGCCCAGCAACTCCAAAATCGGCAAGCTTAACATCACCTTGTTCTGATAACAAGACATTGGCAGCTGCCAAGGGAAATAATGTAATCTGATTTAGAATACTGCTCTTGCGATTTTTAAGGGCTTTAGCAAAGTAACATTTAAAATGTTATGCACCTTTTATATCCCTGTGAATTTTCTTCTCTGAGTGTAGGTAGTCAAGACCTTTCAAGATTTCCTTTAGCATGGTAGCAATCTGGAACTCATCAAATGGACCAGCACGCAGCTTTAGAGAAAAGACACATTAAAATAATTTTAGTCTTATGTCTAATTTTTGCCTTGTTATTGATTTAATTAAATCTTAAACTTGAAAGATTTTTTTAAAAGAACTAACAGAATTCATAAAATATTCAATGAACATGTCAACATTCTATCAGAAATAGGTGCCTTTGGAATGATCATCTTCACATCTCCTCTGTTGATAATACATTGAAAATGCTGTTACTTTTCCAACGTATACAGTATGCACTCCCCTTAGCATGCAGTGCACATGAAAAGCTAGAACTAACTTTCCACAAAGTTACAGTTTCCTATAGACAGCAAACACAGCAGACTGAATTTTGCATTTTAGATTAAGTGAATTAAGAAACTCAGTTTATTTCAAAATAAATTAGTCTATTGACTGTGGTTTTTAAATTTAATGATGCATTTTTTTCTTGTTCCAGCATTTTTGATTCCATGCTTGCTTTTGCACCAGGAACACAGCGTGTTACTATAAAGCTGCTAGTATGGAATAAGTGCAAACTTTGCACATTGGAAAGCTATGTAAATAAAGCTGAAGCAATTAAGGTGGGTGATTCTGCTATTAAAAAAAAAAAAACAACACAGCACTGAAACAGAGAACACCATGAAATTATGGTATGGCAAAGTGAGGCAAATAAGGCAAAACTTAAAGTTTTATCTTTCTAAAGGTTCAGTGGTTTCAATAGTAAAAGCTATTTCACTATTTCTGATACTCACAGAAGACTATCAATTACTCAAAAGTGTTGAAGAGTAAGTATCTCACAGCCCCTTTCTCAAAAAAACTACTGCATGCTACACATAATTACTATGCTTTTGCATTCCTGTAGCTGAGTTGATGTGATGTGATTTCATAAAGAAGTTTAAATAGATTTGTGAAGTTAAGCACATACTTCAACTCTTGCAGACAGGACCACTGTTAGCAAATATAATTAACACTGTTCTGTAATACTGAAAACATGGTATTTTTTCTTCAGAATCACACAAACGAAGACTGAGTTGTATTATCTTACAGGAAAGGGTGGGTCCAAGCTTTACAGCTGAGGCAGAACTGTACTGAAAAGTATGGGGAAACCACATCCACATACAGTGGACTGTGCTCTTGCACTCTCTAAGCTACATTCTTCATGAATGCTACACTATCTTAAGTAAAAGGCACGTTCATGCTTACTGAAAACACCTGAAAATGGAAAACCCAACACTTTCTAACCAGTTAAAATTAACTGTACTCTGTGGGCACACACTTCATTCATTCCTGAGACCCAATCCCAAAGGAAACATTTTTTATTCAAGTGTAATGAATATTCTTGTGTGGGGGACAAAATGTGGGGGACAGACGATCCAAAAACCCACCACATGGCAAGAACAGTACTTCTCCTCATACTAAAAAAAAATTGCCTTACGTTTGACTGAGAACAAATGGATGCTTCCTAATGCTTAGAGCCAAACAGGAAAAACAAAACCAAAAAAACCAACATCAACTCAATGTAACAGAACTACCATTCAAATTCACACTTTTTGGAGCATTACAATGTAGCAGTGATGTAATACCAGCTGCCTCCAGGGACCAGATTTTATAAAGAGATACGAAAGCACAATGAAATAAGGTTCGCTAGTACTTATAATGTAAAAAAATCATATACTTACAAGATCCAAAGCTGATCCTCCACCCAAGTATTCCATTATTATCCATAGTTTTGTGCCCTGTAAAGGAAGGCATGAGTTGTTAGAATTCCAAGGGTGCCATTAAAAAAAAAAAAAAAATTTCAATAGACTACGAGCACACTATTAGGAGAATGCAAATACAGAATCCCATTAATCACCAAGTTACATGTAATTACTTCTTGTGGCATGATCACACAGCTTCTGTGCAAGATGTCTAAATATCAATTGAAGTTTGACCTCTGTATTTCAACAAGCAACAAAAAAGACCCCCACCACCACTCCCCCCCCGATCATTTTCCGCTAACTGTTATCTAAAATGATTCCACCTAAAGGAATGCAACTTAGAGAAAAAAAGTTATCTGGTGGTGGTTTAAGTTTAAACTAAGTGTTTTAATGTAAGATTGTAGTTCTTACAAAAGACTGTCTTTGCATTACAATTATTAATTCCAGCCATTTGTGATACAGAAGCATTACAATTTTAACAGGCAACTTTCTTGTAACATCACCACACCTCTCATCTGAGGAAAATACTCAGAACTTAAAATTGCTTTTGAGCAAGAGAGTGATCATGAACACACTTTGAAGACAACAGAAATTTAAAGCCTAATGGAGGTAACTGCTAGGTGCCTCTTCACCTATGTGGTAACTGTGCATGTGTGTATCTAACATGTCCACAGGCTCCAGCTTAAGTTGTCAGACCCAGCACAAAGTGGGAACTGAGAGCACTTGAACATGCTTGTATCTAAGGACTTACATCCTGCCACAAAACATGCCTGCTACAATACAGGCAGCTCCGATTTTGAGATACAAAGCAGCGCTAGAACCACCAGCCAGGGGAAACTGCACTGCCAGACTTGGAAACCTACAAAAACATTCAGGTTTCCTAAGTTTTCAGATCAGAGGTTCGAGAAATCGGCCATTAAAAGGTCAAAGATAAGAGCAATATAGTTCAACAAAAAGTATGACTTAAGGCACCTATCTTTGGAAATTTTTTTTTATTATTTCTAGTAATACTGCAAAGTTCATGTACTCCTTCACCATATGCTATTTGAATCTCAACCCCTGTGAATACGTGAGTTTCTGCGCTTTCTTTGCGGAGGTGTCTCAACTACTCAATACTAGAAGTGACAAATTCTTCTAATACTGATTTCTAGATGCTGACTTTGCCCTTGGTACGTAGCTGCAAAAGGTGGCTGGTTCATATAAACAAAACCGGAAAGATTTGGTATCAGATCTACAGACTGTGTTTCAAAACTGGGATCTTCTGCTATTTGCTTGCCAGAGTCCCCTCACATTTCAGAAGAAATCCAAACATTAATCTATGGGCTACTACTCTAAGAAATTCTGCAAATAAAAACATTTCTATATTTCAAATAAAAACCAGTTATTAAAAATACTCAGCTGAACCAGACTGATGAAGTACGACGCAGGCTGTTTAAGTCTCCAGCAAACATTTACTACTGCTAGTTTCTTATAACAGAGCACAAGCTTATGGCAGGAGTACTTTTTAAAGCCTCTTGCATTCTGCATTGTGTGCTTTCCCACCCTATTACCTGACTAGTGACAGAAATCTAAAGAAAACTCAACAAGCAAATAAAGGTGCAGTTTCTGAAAGTACCACATCCAATTATCTTAACAAAGTGCGCTCTATTAGATTTATACTGAATTTTAAAACCACACCATTCATGAGAGTCTATTCCAATATTATGAGATCAGCAGGGAAGGGCTGGCTAATTTTAGCAGTTTTTATAAAGCCCAACTTTGTCAGCTGAGAAGACCTGCAAGGAACTCCAGTTTAAGGCAAACATTGTGGTTACCAGACATGTTTGGAGGATTTGACTATTACTTGAAAACAGTATAGGGTGAAAATGAATAAGTACTGTGTTTCTGAAATAATGTCTCAAAGAAATTGCTACTATCCACTGTAACAGGGTGGGGATATTTTCTAGCCAGGCATGAACAACCTTTTTCCTAGCTATTTTAGGTCAACCAAGTATAAATAGATGTAGAACAAACAGTATCTTTAGATTGTCTCAAAGGTTTGCAGCACAAAGTGCCGTACAATTTTGATGTAACTCTCTGGATACTACTATAGGAGTTCTCCATATTCAAGCCGAAAAACAGAGTAACTTCAGGCTTGCTTTGATTGCAAAAGAAAAGAGCAAGCCCAGGTGGCTGTAATAGTTACAAGAATAGGTATTTAAACCCCTAGATGGCACAAATAGGGAAAACAATCATGAAATCTCAGTCATCAAGAGATCTATCTCTATGGGATCAGACGGAAAGTACAGCTCAAGTATGTTATCAAGCTTCACAAATTTGCGTAAACAAAACATGCCAGAACTAGGGTAACGTTTAATACCTTTCATATTTTTCTTGCCTGAACTAAGGTAGTAATACATTTTGACAAGCCATTAGGCGTGAGGAAAACACTCATTTTAGCTATCTAACATAACTTACACTGCTGTGTTGCAACGTACTATCACTTTCAAGGGTACCCTCCACAACCAATGTTTGCTTTATTGAGATGTGATGTTAATTGCAATCAAAGTGCAATACAAGATGAGGAGACAAATTTACATCCTGACCTACCACAAATATGAACATCTACAGACATCTACATCAGAATTTATCTTACAGCTACAGAAGTTGCATTACTACAGCTGTAAGCTCGTACAATTCTACACGCATTTGTGAAAGACACAATATAAGGGTAAAACATTTTACTACCCCACACAAGTACGTGCATTCTTTGACTATATGATTGCACATCACCTACCAGTATGTTCAAAAATTACTACTGATCTTGCCAGATACCCAAAGAAGAATTAAGAAAAAAATTACTAATACCTAAGCTCTAAGACTAATTCAGTGGGAAACTCCCATTCAAACTCCAAAATTCAAGATATATAGGTACCCCAAATTACAAAGATATGGGGGTTTTGTACCTTTTTGTGTCACAGTAACTGAAAACTGGCGTCAACTTTACCGCAAGAACCTCAAGGAAGTAGACCTTGCCATCTTGTACCAATGATAAGATTTTTAAAGAGTAAAGTCTGATAACATACAAATAACATTGCATTGCTAGGTAAAAATAGCTTTATATTTTTAAAATCACATTTACAAGTCAGATGTACAAGCCGTAGCTAATGGGCAACTAGGCTGCAGAACATGACAGTATCTTACACGGCATCAGCTGAGCCTACTAAGTTACAAATTAGTAAGTCAAGTAATTGAAATAAAGACACTCTTCCCTTCCCCCTTTCAGCAGCAGGAGCATCTGGAAGAGCTTGCATGTAGCTGGTAAGCCCCAGGCTCCCTGAGACTGGGCCACTCCATCGCAGTCAGCCACAAGGCTGGCTTTGCATCCTAAAATGTGAGGAAACTGTAAAGCTGCAGAATATATAGAACAGACTGTACAAAAATAATATCTCTCATCTGAAATGCTTGCAATTAGGAAACCCTCACAGTTAACATGTCTTCTTTCGTGTTTTAGTCATAAACAACTTTTAATTATCAAATATGCTATTTTACTGGAGGAAAAACTTAAACTGACTATAAATTGACAAGAACGATCTGCTTATTCAAAGCTTACTTAAAATTGGTTAAAAAAACAAGAATAGGTTACAAGAGATGTTCTGTTACAGTTCAATTGGATGAATAAAAAACAAGAATAGGTTACAAGAGAAGATGTTCTGTTACAGTTCAATTGGATGAACTGAGGCACACATGAAAAACCTGAAGCCAACACATGGTCTCAGCTGCAGTTCCTTCAAAGCAAAAACTATCAAATTTAAAGATTTAAACCAGATCTAGATTACCCAACTAAGAAATATCAATCAGTGTTGTAGGCAACCTGAATGCCTTTGCACTGAGGGTTTGCTTTGGTATAGTTAGGAAAATACTAAGTCTCTTTGATTTAAACAGTGCAAAACTCAAAAACATTTCTAATGCCATTCCTAGAGCTTCAGAGAAGCTACATGTATGATTAATATATTTTAGTAAACTATTTCTATTCCATAAAAACATGATCTGAAAGAGGGCAGACTGGGTCAACTGTTTTGTTTTCCTGTAAATAAAGATGAAAAGGGAAAAAGAAAAACTCTCTTAAATTATGAAATACCTTCTATTTACTGTGTGTTTATGCTCTTTTTAACCACTACCTTAAAATGTATTTCTAGGAATATTTTCAGTGATCTTTATATATAAAACTAAGTATTCACCAACAAACCTATGGGACCACTTTGAATATGATCTTCATACCAGTCATATCCATAGCAAACCACTATTAATCTCTGCAGCCTAGGATTTTGCTTTGTAAGAAATAAGATGTCTTAATTTTCAGAATATAGCCTCAATATTCTTTAACCTTTAATTATGAAGTCATTTGGTACACAACTGTACCTATTTCACTGTTTCCAAGAGATGTCTACAGTATATAGAGAAATTAAATTGTGGACGAAGTACTACACAGCTAAATACTTAAGCTGACAGCCATTCTTAGAGTAATAGCTAATAAAAAGTTAAAAGCTATAGCAATTAAGTAAAAAAAAAAAAGACAGATACAACTCTCAAAATACCTGTTATTACTAAAATGAAAAGGCAGCATAAAAGATTCTTTGCACATTTAACAAAGCTAATACACTCTTTAGCCAAAAGAAAAAGTATTAGTAACCAAGGATAAATCTAGCTTAAGAAAAATGTAAAGCCAAGATACTACTTAAACAGTCATTTTATTTATTTATTTTTAATTACAGAACTAAAAGTACTCAATTATTTGTGGCCATTTTTATTCGCTTACTTGGGGAACAGCAAGAAGTAGAATTACCTATCATGCTAGTCTGGGATGAAAAACATTTCTATGAACCATTTTTTACGGTTTGTGTTTTTTGGTTTTGTTTTGTTTTTTAAAGAGGAATTTCTTAAAGGAATGGGAAAGCAACCAAAACTCCGTAAGCTCTACGCACAGAAATTTTCCTTCCCCCAAAATATTAGAACTGTGAAAAGTAAACAGGAGATCAGCATTAATCTTTCAAAATTTATCCATTTAGAATAATAGAAATGGAAAGAACTCAAACGGTGAGGAAAGTACTGCAGCATTAAAATGATCCTGTATTTGCCAGGAATTCTTAAAAAGTAAAAAAACCCTAACCAGAACTTGAAAGTTTTATAGCACTGATAGAATAGTTATACTTACATATCTAAGAAAAGGGGTAAAAAGTGAAAGACTTGCATAACAAGGCCAAAGACAAACTGCTGTGATGCACAGGTACTTAGGGAGATTCGCAATACCCTTTTTGCTTTCATACCTATGTTGTTGTAAATAATGAAAAGACTATTTTCTAACATGATTTATAATGCTTTTTCCACCCACCACCCCTCAAGCCCCCCCCCAAAACAAACAAAACAAACCCCTACCAAATCAAGGTTTCATTTCCCCATTTACAGCTGCTGAAAACTGCTGTTTAATTCTGATATTTACCAAAACACTTTTCCAAGCAAAAACACTTTCCAAGATTTACCTTGACCTGTTTGTACTTCAGGGCAAACAATTGGGCTTTTACAACACAAAGTTAAAACGATGGATACGTTGCAGGAGCATAATATTTAGGACTTAGCTCATAACAGAAAATAAAGGACTGTAAAAAAGACTGATCATGTCTGGATCTGCAGTACCATTTGTGCACTGCTCCAGGGGAACATTGCTAGCTGAATTCAAAGTTATCTTGAGAAGAACCAGCTTGTTCTAATACACTATGACACAGGAAAGCAAATTCTACAACATCTCAGAGCTCTATCACTTAATAACAAAAACCCCACTGATTGAGCTCAGTAAAGAGAAGGAAAGACAGGACATCAGTGACAACTTGTACGTTCACTTCAGCATGAAGAACCCACAGAATACTGAGTAACTAAATAAACAGCAAAGCCGCCACAGCTGTCTTATCTTGGTCAAAATGAGAATTTAGTATTTGGAGTACAGAAAATTAAATCACCCACTTAGCATTAAAATATTAAAAATTGAATATTTTGGCAATTTAAAGAGGAAAAAAACAAATCTACAATGAACACTACTAAATAAATTCTGCAAATACTTTTATAGCATCACTGAAAGATACAGCACAAGTGTGACACAGGAATGTTTCTCAGAGATCTGTCTTTAGAAATGTCAAAAACCCCACTATACCTTAAGAAGCCAGAAATACCTGCAGAGGAAAAAAAAAAAAACAAAACAAAAAAAACCCCAACCAAAACACAAAAACAAAAAAAAAACAAAAACAAAAAAAACCCCCAACCAAAACACAAAAACAAACAAACAAAAAAAAACAACAAAAAAAAACCCCAAACCCAAGCAAACAAACCAAAACCAAACAAACAAAAAAACCCAACAAAAAATCAAACACAAGTAAACAAAAAACCCCAGACATTTAAGATAGCTCTAACTATGGTTAACACTTTAGCTTTTATTGAATGGTTTTAGTTTTTTAAAAATCATCTAGAACATGTATGCACTGCAGATCATTTAATCAATATTTAGGGTGATTATACCTGGACAGTTTTGCAAGCTGAAAAGACTTACTCAACATTTTGGATTTCTGCAAGTTTTCATTTTTGTTTGTTTGTTTTTAAATTATGTCTTAGATAACATTTCACACAGTGGTTACGTAACTGCTGATGTCAGTTTTACTTTGTCTCAGGCCTACTATGCTGCATAACTACCAACACATCTCTACATGCTGCAGGGTTTCTTTCCATGTCAGAGAAAGGTTTTAGTTTCTATAGCTATGAAGGTATTTTTTCTTCCCCAGAAAGGCCACAAAATTGTGCTAGGATTGTAGAGGGCTGAGAGAAAACCAAGGTCCAAAAGCAATAGCAATGGCAAGAGGAATCCTCTATCAACTCCGTTCATTCTCTAGCCATTTTATGCAAATTTTATCCTCAAAGAGCAAGCAGCAAAAGGAGCAAAACAAAGTTAAAAGCTCTATCCGAAGAAAAACAAAAACATACTAAAAAAAGGTCAAGTTGGCATGATAACTCTTCCTCAATTTTAGAATTTTTTTGCTAGAGGCATTCAAAACAACTGGGTGCTAGCAAATCTTTGTGCAATACTATACATTACCTTTAAATATGATCCGTAGTACTTTGTTACATAAGGACTATCACACTGACTTAAAACAGTTATCTCTTGCTGTATATCTTCTATTTCATCTTCTGCTTCCTCAAGGTCTATGATTTTTATAGCAACCACTTGCTGTGTCCGATTATCAATTCCTTTAAAGACTTCACCAAAGGAGCCTTTCCCAATGCGTTCCAGTTTTGTGAATAGTTCTTCTGGGTCTGCTCTATGGTTCTAGAAAAAAGAAAAAAAGAAGAAAAAAGATGTACAAGTTACTTAATATACTTCCAAGTTATTAGCTCTCATTACTTCCCAAGAAGCACATCATCCAAATTTATCATCACTAGAAGGCTCACATCAGATAAATTTATTTCCTGCACACTAACTTCTAATTCAGCTATTAGTTACAGAACATACATTATGCAATGATGTCAAAGGTAAATGAGCCTCACCAGGAAGGGAGTCAGGTACAAACCTCATTTCACTTCCCCACATAACAACCCTTTAAAACGAAAGAATAGAGCTGTTCTTAATATTAATCCTATCTGTGCAGTAATTCAGAGGACTGGGGAATGGAATTACTGGCACAGAAGCACTAACATCATCACCCAGGCAGAAGAGGCTGGGCTTTCTACCTGGCCAACAGCCTTGGGCAGACAAAGCATCCTATCAAGTAATACAGCGTGGAGCTAGTTGTGAGAGGACTGCACGGCCCGGTATTCACCGGCAGATTCTGAGATAAGATCAGGCGTCTTCAGGGCAGCTAAAAGTGCTGACAGAAAGTAGAGCAAAAGGGACTGAGAGATGTTCAAAGAAGGAGTAAGAAGGCTGGAGCAGAGTACTGAAACCGGGGTACTGACCAGAACTGGCTGCCTTAAAAAGGGGAGCAGAGCACCAGGCAGCATAACACCGCTGAGCACACCTGGCTTAGAGTCTCTGTTGATTCACTACTCTAATAATAAATTCAGCAGACTGATTATTATACAAAGATTTTAAATTTCTCAGCTCCATTCAAGTCGTCATGAAGGAAACAAAAACGAAGCAAATTCTCATTTTCCCTTCAAGATAAAGCACGCTACGTGGCTGCTTAGAGAACCTTGTGTATCCAAAAACCACAGCAGTGACTTCTGAAGGATACGGACAACTTGCTCCCCAGCTTAAGAACACAAATCTTTAGATCGTAGTAAGAAAGTTTGCAGAAAGGTGATTTTAGGAGGCAAGACAGACTTATTAGCAGAACAGCCCACACTTTGCAGAACAACACAATTAAATATATTACTGCTGTCAGAACTGGGCAACTAATTGCGCAAATCAATCTTTGAAAAAGAAACATCTGCCCAAAAAAGCCCTCTGATTCAACAGCAACATTTGAAAATATGAAAGAGATGCTTTGTTTTTCTCGCACTCCAAAACTCAGAACCAGCAAAAGAAGTGACAGTTTTGGCAAAAGCAGACATTCAACCCAAGGCACAGATTACCCTACATAACAAAATACTCAAGTATCAACACGAAACTCCAGAAAACATCTTTACACCAGTGTTCTTGCAATGGATGCAAAAATCTTTACTGGGAAAAAAATACATTACTACTTCAACCTAGTCCAAAATGGACAATCTTATTTCCTTACTGGGCCCTCATTGTCGCTTCCTCCCTTCTACCAGAACCAGAATTTATTCCACAATATGGTGAGATGAATCAGGAGACAGATTTAGCTAAGAGTTAACCATATGATTTGTCAGGTTTATTTTCAGCAGAATCAGTTCACTGCTCATATATACCAAGCTGTCATTTGTACTATCACAAGAGGAGGGAACATGAAGTAGTATGGCAGATTCATGCCAATCTGTGGAATTAGATTTTTAGATTTTGCAAATATACAAGACACACTGCTGTTCCTGAGCAGCACATTAAAGCAAGAAGAATGAGGAATTTCCCTTTTGCCTACAATGAGCTAGTTGCTACTCAGCTCCATTAACAAAAAAACCAAAACGCCAAGACCAAAACGCCTTCAGAGACATAACTGAGCAAAAAATTTTGTATTTTCTTCTGTTGATAGATCCAGTAAAAGACTTAAAAGATGAACAAATACATAATAAAAGCAAATGAAAAATGACAGGATGGGTACTATTTTGATCTGAGATCTGGAATAACTAATATGATTATACTGGAAAAGAAAAAGACTGTAGGCTTCATAAAGGTTTTAGTTAGACAAAAAAACCCCAGTAATCTTCAAACTGCCCAAAGATAGCCATATTGCCATACATTACTGCATCAGCTCCTGCCATCTTTTCATCGTTAAGACTAACAAAATAAAAAAAAAAAAATTTTTTAAAATCTGAATTTAAATCCATTTTCAGATGTGTTTCAAAAAAATATTGTAGGGACATGTGTGGCAAAAGCAGCAGCAACTGCCACCCAGCCTTGCCCTGTTGCTAGAAAAGCTGTAGAATTGTCATTTAGCTAGCAATCTAATGTGTTCCTAAACTACAACATTAGTTCCAACAAGGAATAATTAACTGATAGTTCTCCATTTACAATGAACAGAGACACACATACACACCCTCCAGGAAACAACAGAGTTAAGAAAGAGGATTGGCAAAACCTTCCATTAACTCTAAAATACTCATCTCAGAAAAACTAGCTTCATTTTGAGACACTCTTGGAGCCTGGGATTCCAGGAATCATTCATGCTAACTCATAGCTATTGTTGATTTGAGATGAAACCTGTTAAACACTTCCAGACAGGTAAAAGAAAAGCAATTTAATCACAGATATAGTCAACTAATCCAACCCTTCACAAATGTTTGATGAACTCAAAGGGCAACACTTGGGTTTCGCTTGGGGAGAAACCTTAAGCAGAAAATTCCTCTGGGCTCCTCAGTGGAAATACACATCACTCAATCCTATACACCCACTTAACGGTCATCAACAAAACAAGCCAGGCCTCCAAACTCTCTCCCCCAAGCTATTTCAGGTGAATCAGAGCTTTAAAGGCTGTTTTAACTTCCAACAACTCCTAATGCCATTACATGGGAGTGCTGGAGTATAGGGAGAGATAGGGCATGGCTGGACTTCCAACATTGCAGAACTCCATGTACATCCCTGGGAGAGAGAGGTGGAACAGAGGGGCATGAGAGGAGAACAAACAGTGCAGGACTACTGGAGGAAAAAGTCACATCTTTCTATTCTGAGAAAATCCTCTCACAGCAAGCAGTCAGCTTTACAGCTTCTGTCACCAAGGCTGACAAGGAATTGTAGGACACTCCAGGATAAGGGCAAATATTTCTGACCAATTGTGGCTAATATTGAGATAATGTCCTTTGGAAAGTCTTCAAACTTAGAACACTACATAACTTAAAATATGGCCTTAAAACAAAGACTGCATTTTGAAACAGATTTGCTTTTATCTTTCTTAATTTCCTTATCTTTCAGACTATTGTTCTACAGGAATGTTCTTCTACAACTAATAAAAAAAACAAAACACCAAAACTTTAAAAGACTACTTTTTAAACAAAGGTAAATTTATATAAAGCAGTAATGCCTATCCTCCTTCTCCTGGTATAGAAAAGGATGGAGATATATTTTATATAAATAGAAGTGTGTATGTGTGTATACACGCTCCCAATATATACCAATAAATTTTTGCAGCACAGCTGCCAGCTAAGCTTCTAATATGGTAGAAATTAAGATTTCTAACACTATTAACGCTCCTGAGCAAAACACCCAAATGTTATTCCCTGTTCCTTCACAGATCTTTCATTGAACGGGAAAAAAGTTTAGAAGTTTTGAAAGTTGCCTGCATGAATAATTGTTGGTTTTTTTTTAAAAATAAATACTGGTTTCTATGGGGAGTCATGTCTGTTGGGCAGCAGATGGTAACAATACAATAGGCAGTGTATGGACTCCATCATCACCTCTCCGAGGATAACACCTATAAGTGGACAAATCAGGAACAGAATCTATTGCTCTTCCCCTCCCTAAGCCCGTTTCTACAGACAAAAGCAGCAACAAGTATGACAAGCACAGGCACATTCACATGCCAGCTTCAATCTTGCCAGCACGAGCAACAGTACCAGCACAAGCGTGACAACACAAGCCCTCTGCGTAGCTTAGGAAGTCCACCATTTCACCAGTCCAGCACAACTATACAGCCTGTGCTAGCGTTCAGTAAAATCTCTCCTCCTCTTATCCAACCATGTATGTGTTCACACACATATGTATGTACACACCCGAAGTCACAGGATCATAGCGTAATTCGGCTTGGAAGGGACGTCAGGAGGTCTAGGCCAACTGCCTGCTCAGAAGCCCCAAATAAAAAAAAAAAAATTGCATAACTTTTGCCAGCATACCTGCAGTAATTGCATCAAGTATTCTGCCATTACAGCTTATATAAGCATTTTTTTATTCCGATAGACACAGCTACGCAGCAATGTACTGGCTGCATTCTGCTACAAAACTGACTGGCTGACTCACCTTCCCACCTCTGACCCTTTCATGTACCTGTTCTCCAAATGCTGCGTTATTCCTTTGAAACAAAGTTAGAGCACACTGAATATCTAACTTTCAATGTTATACGGATATCTAACGACATACACCAAATTAGAAGAAACAGTATCTGTGTTAGACCACTTCTGGATCTGTCAGTGCAGGACAGGTCTTTTACAGAAACAGGTCTTCTAAGAAGGTTCATTAATGAATTTCATTAAAGACGACTGAGTACAACTGCATAAAAAAACAAAGCTTCAAAGAATCTTGGACAGAGACTGAGCTAATGCCTTGTATCTAACAAAATCAAACCCACGATCCTCTAGGTCTCCCAAAGCAAATAATTTACCATAGTCTTGTGAGATTTCTTCTAAGTAGTCTGTCAATATGACAACATATATCCTGTTGTCTTAGCAGTATTTCTAAAACCTGACCCAGAAATCCTGTTATACTATCTGGATTTTCAAGCACCTCCCAGGCTTTATTTGGAACAGAAGTTCCCTTAAAATTGTAGCAGTACTACAGAATAGCTCACCTACATTGGCAGACATTACTCAAATACGCATTAGATAAAGATGCAATAATTAGCTCAAACGATTTTATAAAAGGTTGGTAAGAGAAGACTAGAGTGTCTATTTGTATGTTTTTCAAGTACCTGCTACTATGGTGCCCTAATACGTACTGGTATCTTTGGAAGCCATCAGAATTACCTGTGTGTTTAAAAGACTGTCATTTCAAGCAATTGCTCACTAAAATAAAAACCTGATTTTCATAGCCAGGGAGAAGTCAAAGGTAAACTATAAGGAAAAGAGTCATCTTACAGAAAGGTTGAGGAAAAGGAGGAGGTTATGTTATGGCAAAATATTTAAAACCAAACCAAAAACAACCCATTATCAAAAAAAACACCCCAGTAATTAATTTGTTGTGCAGCCTCACAGTTACATTAGCATTAAAATGCCAGATCAGAAACGTATGCCAACTTTGTTGCTGAAGCCAGCATGCACTGCACCATTTGTCTTAAGTCCCACTGTCTGCACTGTCTGAATTATGGCTAACAATAAAATCAAATAGCAATTATGAGGCCTAGTTTATTATCTGTAAAATCTCCAAGATACCTTTTATTGTCTTAAGAATCAATACCTGAAATACCATGAGCAAAAAAGACACTTGAAAGTCAATAAAAGAAAAACAGATTAAAAGTTAAGACATTTAATCTATTCCCAGCATTGACCTCACTCTTAAAAAATACTGCATCTGGGTTGAGCACATTGAAATCATACGTAATCGGTCCATTCATAGACATTTATCTGTTCTCAGATAATGAAGTACCTCTAAATTTTGTTTCTGTTCAGACCCCCAAAAAAATTGAAATTAAGAGGGAGTAAGATTGGTGAACTTGATAGGCTATGGGACTTCTTAGAGTAATGTCTTAATCAACAGATACATTCATCTTAATTGAATTTCTTTCCATACACTATCTGCATGTAGTTTCAGATATTATGTATATACACATTAATTATACACCATACATATTCTATTCTATAACAACATATATTCACATACATTATATGTATTTCCATATTTTACCTGCGTAAGGAATGTTTTACTTCTTTACAATAAAGCCACCACAGGTAGTGATAGATTTTAATTCCTGGAGCTCCTCCCCACCTTCCCCCGCCAATTTTATTTTAAAATCCTATTACAATTGAAGTTACTCACACAAACAGTGCCATAGGCGTGCGTGCGTGTGTGTGTGTATATATAAATTTAAATAGTTTGAAGTTAATGAAGGCACAGGTGCAGATCCATTATTACTTACAAAGAATCAGAAAAAAAATGAACTTGCAGACATTCAAAACAAGGGTAGACATCTTTTTTCTCCATCTTGCACATACACTCTTGTGTGTTGTTGACTTTTGCATGTAACTAAACTCTGATGCTACCCTGCAGTCCTGCCAAGACTCAAATGTCAGGATAGTAGATACTTCATTATATTAACTGGAACTGTATGATACATACTGAAGAAGAAAATTATTTTAACCACAAAACAATTTGACTTTGTAAAGTGTCAAACTTTTACATTGTCAAGCTTTTCTACATGGTAGGTAGCAAAAACTAGATCCGGGCTTTGTTGTCCTTAAATGGGACCTGACGTCTGTTACACGCTTTATGAAACACCTCCCTTATCTGACAAGGCCAAGACTCATTGCCATTTTTAGTGAGAACCTGGAGAACGTCAATATAAAACAAACGCAAAAATAAGCAAGCAAAAAAATCCATGTCGCTTTGTTTTCATCAAGTCAGCCATAAGGCAAGCTGCTTGAAAATTCATGACTATCAAAACTTTAAAATCAGCATTCAAAACCCACCCATTCTCAGATTTTTAAAGAATCACCTTCATCTTCAAATCATCTCTGACCTGTGGCAGATGCAAGCTGTCAATTGTATGTGTGCTGAAAATGGAAACCACTGAACTCACTTCCTCTATTATTAGCTATTCTTTCACTTTGGTAACACAACATGAAGAAGCTTAGGAAACAGCATAAATGAGCAAAAAGAAAGAATAACAACACATTTCCCAAAGATTAGCTCTTTGACACAGGCAATTAAAAAACTTTACACCAATTATTTATGAAGTGTATTCTGCATTGAGGAAAGGAAACACAAAGAGAAATTTCTCATGCCAGTGAGCTTCTCTGTAACTGAGTATCCTTACATTTCAAAAGGAGTCCCACTTAGCTTCCATTCTGTGTATCGATACCTTTTAACCACCCAGTATCTTTAAAAAAAAATCCTCAAACCACTGCATACAGCTGCATATCCTTCAGTCTGCTCACATCTCTGAGAAGCATGGCCTATGAAAAGAGTCAGAGGAATTAAGGAGAGAGGGGGCACAAATTATGTGGCTAGATCTTTACTGTGATTTGAGAAAGTCCTAAGTGACCGAATGCTCTATAGCTAGGGAGGATGAACATCCTTAGATGGAGACAGAAGTCAGTTCCAGAAATCAACAGGTTCTGGTATCCCAAAGTGTTCAAACTCCGTTCTGCATTTATTAGAGTTCAACAAGCTGATCTTTCAAAACAAATAAAAACTCCTTTGCTGAACAGTGCAGGACAAGTGACGGCTGAATGGGTAATTAACCCACCTCAATGAACTAACTGCCTGTACACCTGAATTAGAAGATAGAGGACGACTGCAATTTCTCATTGCTGAAGAACATTTGTAATCTCTTCATTTTATGAAATGCTTTGAAAAACCTAATCTGCAGAGAGATTACAAAAGCCACGTCTAATAGGAATATGGAAAAATAACCATTTATGGGCTGCAGCGTACTTTCAGCAGTATGCCTTTCCTTTCAGCAAGCAGCCTGCTTATCAGTACATAAATAATTTTTTTTTTTTGCCACACCCATTTAAAGAAACAACTATGTCCAGCAATAAACTATATCATTACAGCATTTGGACCATTTTCCTAATATTTAGAGGTTCGATATATACAGCTACTGCTGCTACACAAATTTTACATGCCTCCTCACTGCTCTATCTTAGAAGCCATTTTAGCATTTGTGCAAGTTAGAACTTGATACACAGATTTTCCTCCTGTAAATAAGATTAAACTCATACTATAATCCAGATAGAACAAAAATAACAACAAAATCCAGCTTTTTAACCTGCCAGTTCATAAACTAGAAAGCAGCAACAAGACCTCAAGTTTAAAACACACATGAGTATCTTTGTTAAATCTCTCTACTGAAGTACTCCTTACTTATCTACACGTTAAACAAAATTAAAGCAAGGCAGAAAAACATTAGTTGAAAAAGGATGGCTCCAAAACACAATGTGGGTTAAAGAGCAGGCCACAAGTTTATTTACCGCAGATAACTCTCCAGGCATAATCACTGCCTGCAATGAACCCCAAGTGGGAACCCACGGTCAGAAGAGTATCACCATTCGTTTAGCTTTGGTAGGGACCATTTTGAGAAAGGAAGGCAAACACACCAGTCTTCTAGAATCCTAGATTTCTGTCCTCTCCCCAAGGCTGGACGACCACAAGCTTGAAAAATGTACCCTGCTCTTGAATACTGGCCCTTGATCGTATCAGTCATACTGGACCTGAAGCTACAAGAAGGACACAATGAAAAACCAGAAATACAACTCCAAAATGAGCTACGAAGGAAGCAAGAAACCTACCCTGCCAGAACCAACCTGCCCGTTTCAGGAAACTCCTTTTTCAATTACTTTGCAGCTCATTCATAGCATGGCAAAGCATCTCATTACACAAAAGGCGAGGGGAAGGGGGAGGGGAGGAAGAGAAACACCCTGAAAAAAAATTCAGATTCTTCTTGCCAACTAGGCTGGAATAAAGCTGTGCAGGAATGTAAAAATGTTCTTGCTATGACCGGTTGCCAGATGACACCTTCCTAGGTGAGAGATCAACAGCAAGCTCATCTCACTCCGCTCATAATTCTCTATAATGCTTTTAATTGATTTACATCAGTAGAAATTCAGTCTTTTTCATTCAGTGTTTTACATTTAGGCACTTTACAATACTCATGGTCATTTTCAAGTTGTACAGTGTTTTTACTATTCTGCATTCAGCTCCCAACACAGAAGCCTGCATTAAAATACAATTTGACATCTAGCAAAGCATAGACACACTCTGATCCCCCCCAGTCAACAATGTTCAAATATTCAGAACATGTAACAGTACCCAGTTGAAAGGAAAGCCTGCAAAAGATGGGAGAGCAAGGGGGGAACAGAAAAAAACCCCACATTCTTCAAGACTGAACAGATGGTTCTTGACTTCTGGTTCATGAAAACAGTGAAGCCACCCTGGGCTCTTAGGCTCCCCCTTCCACACACAGCTCAAGTGTGAAACTTGCAGATAACCA